GCACTGCCAACCACGGCTTCGACGGGTACTTCCAGACCCAGATGGGCGTCACGCGCGGCGGCGCTCTCACCGGCAACTCTGTCATGGGTCAGTTCCAAAAGGACTGGGGACTCACCTCCACGCCCATGTCCCAACTCCTCTCGCGCGACCCCAACGAAATCACGCCCAACCGCGACCAGATCTCGTCCATCTACGGCCAAGTCAGCCACACGTACGCCAACGGCAACCGCTACTCCTCGCGCGACTACATCCAAGCGGCGGTCTCCTCCCGCGCCAACATCACCGTCTCTCTCACCTCCCTCGCCACCAAGGTCCTCTTCGACACCTCCGGCACCAAGTGCGGCGCCCAGCCCCGCGCCACCGGCGTCGAGTACCTCTTCGGCAAGTCCGTCTACGCCGGCGACAACCGCCGTACCGCTGCCAACAAGGGCGAGAAGCGCACCGTGCTCGCCCGCCGCGAAGTCATCGTCTCCGGCGGCGCCTTCAACTCCCCGCAAATCCTGCAGCTCTCCGGCATTGGTAACGCCACCGAGCTCACCAAGCTCGGCATCACCGTCGTCAAGGACCTCCCCGGCGTCGGGCAGAATCTCATGGATAACCAGGAGATGCCCATCATCGGCACGGGAACCGCCGGCTCCGGCATGGCGGGCGTGTCCATGTTCAAGACCAAGCACCCCGCGCACGGCGAGCGGGACATGTTCCTCATGGGCGGCCAGGGCTTCCTCTTCCGTGGTTTCTGGCCCGACAACCCGGTGCGGACCCCGACGGAGGTGCGCTCGCCGTATGGCGTGAGCATGGTCAAAGGCTCCAGTGTCAACAACAAGGGGTGGGTGAAGCTGCGGAGCGCAGACCCGACCGAGATTCCGGAGATCAACTTCAACCATTTTGCGCCTGGATCCGAGATGGATATGGAAGCCATGAAGGACACGGTGGCGTGGATTCGAAGGGTGTACAAAGCCGTGGGCATCACCCCGGTGGAGCCCCCATGCACGAAGGGGCCGGATGCGGATGGGTATTGCGGGAAGGAGGACGAGGATTGGATTCACAAGCAGACGTTTGGCCACCATCCGACGAGCACTTGTCGGATTGGGGCGGCGAGTGATCCAATGGCGGTGCTGGATGGGAAGTTCAGAGTGCGTGGCGTGAGCGGCTTGAGGGTGGTGGATGCGAGTGCGTTTGCTAGGATTCCGGGTGTCTTCCCGGCCGTGTCGACGTTCATGATTTCGCAGAAGGCGAGTGATGACATGCTGGAGGAGTTGAAGGCGGGGACGGCGATCTCGGTTTGCGCGGCTTGAGTGGGGGTTTGCGAGTGTAGCGATGTTGAGAGACAAAAATATTGTATATCGTGACTGAGGTTAGGAGAAAAGCAAAATATTACCGAATTGCGGGCGAGGAGGATGTGTTTGCCAAGATGCCCTGATGCAAGCTGCAAGCCCGGCAACTGATAACAGCGAACCCACTCATGGAAAGAGCATTAAGTGGCGAATTTCAATGCTCCAGCAGAAGTTCCACAAAGGTCATCGATTGGTGGGAAGGAGGCATGGGATCAACTTTCTGCTCAACCGCAAACTAGGTAGGCACGAGTGATGTCATAATTGAATTTAAATCGGTCCAGAACACGATATGGTACGATACTCAGCTTGGGTATCCAAATTCATGCAGTTCCGACGCAAGGATAGCGAAGTCTCGCATTGGCAACGAGGCAACATGTTCGAGGCGGGAAAGATGATAGGGCAATGCGTATCGATCCATCTGCAGTGGGTAGGTGCGGCCCTGGTTTTTGGAAGTTGCGTAGATATTGCTTTCCAAAAACCCCGCCACTGAAACATGAACCGCATGCATGTTCAACTGTGCCATTGCACGATAGATCGCAAGAAAACCAGGCCAGGACATTGTTTTCAGTACTGCTGGGTACCCACATGTCCTCATGTTTTTCGCACTCAACACAGGCGGTTTCGCCGGCACATGGACGGATGCAACGTCAGACCAGCAACTGGTTCGACACCTCTTGGAGCTGTACTTTTGCTGGGAATATCCGGCGCTGGCGTCGCTGAGCAGGGAACATTTCATCGCAGATTTTGCGGCAGGACGGCCGAGGTTCTGCTCATCTCTTTTGGTCAATGCCCTACTTTCCCTTGCCTGCCGATTCTCGGACCGACCAGAGTCTCGCAACCAGGACAATCAGTCGCACACGGCAGGCGACAATTTCTTCGACGAGGCCCAGCGCCTGTTCTGGGCGATGGACGACCACCGTGGGCTGACGACGATCCAAGCGCTCGGAATCATGTCGATCAGGCAGGCAAGCTGCGGCAGGGACGCGGAAAGTCGCTACTATGCTGGCCAAAGTGTTCGCTTGTGCATCGAGCTGGGCTTGCATCGATGCAGTCCCGATGTGTCGCAAGATGACGAGCAGGTCGTCCGGTTGGCCACGTTCTGGGGCGCCTTTGCGTTGGACCAGTAAGTCTCTGTCTCCATCTCTTGCCAGGCCATCGATGCTGACATCTGGTAGCGCTTGGTCTCTCACCACTGGCTCTCTTCCCCAGTTCTCCCGGTTTCCTCGCTTCCCCCCTAAAATTACGACAAAGCCTGAAATCGAAAACGCTCTGTGGGTTCCCTACACCGACGACGGTATGCTCTCCGGTTTCCCACAATTGACACTGCTTGAGTGTCCCCGCGGCTGACGATCTGTGGTGACATTCTAGGATCCTTACTCCATCATCCGTGTGAACAGCCCTCCCATATAATTTCGGTCTTTAAGTCCTTCTGCGAGCTCAGCGAAATTGTCCACAGCGCGATGTACACCCTCCACTGCCCAGCCAAGGCGCCAGACCGAGATGATATGCTGAACATTTATTCGATGTTCCTCTCTTGGTATGACAGTCTTCCAGCCGTATTCCGACTCGGCGGCAACTTCACGCCACAGGTGCTGTTCATGCAGTTTGTCCTACCCCTGTTGTCTCGTCGGTGTAATATATGCTGATAACTGATACCAGCGGGTACTACCACTACGCCATAATCCTCACCTTTCGTCCTTTTCTCGACCTTCGCCTCAAAAACTCAAACATTCTCCCCCGAAGCGTCTGCATCCAAGCCGCGGACGCCATTCACGGGCATATGCGTTCATATTCGCAGCTCTACTCTCTCCGACGAACCCCCTGGTTCATGCCCTACCTTGTGCTCATGTCCTCCCGCCTGTATCTTTCTGTCGGCGGTCTCTACCTCAGCCCTGACACATCCGGGTCTCTAAGCGCCGGGCTGAGACAAGCGCTGTGGTCAGCGAGGGGGGCCGAAGATATATCCGACACCCTGAATCGGGTCCAACAAGGTCTTGATAACCTAGGAGAGATGCGACCATGTCATGGTGCCGCAACCATCGCGTGGAACATGCTACGCTATCTCAACGATGCGTTGGAGGTCTACGTTGAGATCAGTCGTGCTCTGGAAGGCGGACAGTGGCAGGGAGGGGAGTTCGACCCACGCTGGGTGGCGTTTTCGGAGAAGAGAGGGCTGGATTTCTTTCCGCCGTCGCCAGGGGAGAACCAGAGCGAGGGGTACGTTCAGGGGAGTACTGATGGGATGGACAGGGCGGGACAAGAGGGTCGAAGCATAGATGGGATGCTGTCGTTGCTGCAGTCATCCGATGCGTTGAAGAGTGCGCTCTATTGGCCTTCGCCGAGACGGCCGCCGCCGCTGATCATTCTCACTGGACCTGCGCTGGAGAAAGCGGGGTTTAAGCCTTTGGAGTGATTCATGGCTGCTGGTCGACAACGGAAGGGTGGGGTGTTGTAACGGGGTAAGGGTCAGGTCAGGGTCGAAATCTCGGGGCAGGAATCGACGACGTCATGGCTTCTTCTCGTCTCTGCCTCCGCTCCGATGATCGATTCGGTTTGAGTCATCCATTCTGGCCTAGCGGTTATTCGGCGGTTCTCACCAGATGGACTGCACGACTGTCCAAAGGTAAATGTTCCTCACAAAGGCGGACCATGGAAAGCGCCGGTGAGATCCTCCTGACAGCTGCACAGGCTGCGACGTGCAGTCACCCACTTATAGGGATGTCAGCCCCTGAAATTTGGGCCGACGGCAGGGCCTCCTCCAACCCCAAACCATCACGAACCCAAGCCGCCGTCTTCGATGGCACGTGTCAAAAAAACCAGCAAGGCCTCGGTCATCGCAGCCAGGACTGCCGAGGAGAATCGGAGGAAGCATCAGCGGCGCCGAAAAATAAAGATTGTCGCGGCTGTGGCAGTTCTGATGGTTTTGTTGTTTCCACTACCAGAGCCAAAGCCGCCAAAGACGTTTCTGGTGAAGAGACGCAGCGCAACTGCGGCCCGAATCGCACGACGTCTTCAAGTTCGTCCGGATATGGCATCTCGACCCTTGGAGAAAAAACTCAAGGTACCTGTCGACATTACCGCCTCGAGTCCACGCGGCAGCGCAACTCCCACCCCAAAAATGCGGCGTCTTCAAGTTCACTCGAAAAAGAAAATCGGGCCCTTGAAGAAGATTCTCAGAGTACCTTCCCAGATCACCGCCTCGACTCTCACGTCCGGCCGCGCAAGCTTGAGCGAGTTCACTCGGTCTGGATCGGGGAGGAAAGATAAGGAGCCTGCCGCTACGCGTGGGGCTTAAACATTGTCATGAGTTACGGCTGGGAGCATTTTGGGGGTCCTCAAGTGTGTGGCCAGGGGTGCAACTTCTGCTGGATCGGGTTTTTTGGGGACTGGACTTTATGTATGATACATGATACTTGGTGTTTTTCTCGATTGCTCACTCTGATGCCCGACCGCAAACTGGCACCTGTCCGCAGTTCTGATTGGCGATGATGTCGACCGAGCTGCGCAATTCTTCGCCCCTGAACCTTGCCTCCAGGCTCCAGCTGGGTGACTGGTCCGCTCAGCTCATCCAATCATGGCATGACTCACCACCCGAGCTAATCCAACCCCACAGCTCCGCCTCTCAGGAGTCATAAGCTTGCATACGGAGCACCCCAATCATCAATTGGTTCTGTGGTGTAGTGGTAGCATACTTGCTTTGGGTAGTTGATACTTGCAAGTGGTCCCAGGTTCGAGCCCTGGCTGAACCCTTTTTTGCCCAACTGTTAGATAGTTGACATACTTTTTAAGTTAGCGGTGCTGACAGGCTGTGGCGGTTGTTTCACGCAACCTGCCAGTGCCTTAGCGGCAGCTTCAGAGAGGTTCCCAAAAACCCAAGTAGAATCAGAACAGAACTCCGAAGAAAAAATCTTAAGACTTGTTTACGCCTGCCTCCTATCCTGGGACAGGATCCTATACACGTTGATACCCTCAGCCTCCGTATTGGAACCTCGGTGAGTTTGATGCCCCGGTTTTTGATGTCCCCTGCGCCGCACTTGGCGAAATCATCGCCTGTCCATCCCATGGGCTCCATGTATGACTTCCAGTCAGAGGTTGTTTATACCGGCATGTGCATTGTTTCCTCGCCTTCCCAGACCGTAAGTTTTACATTGAAACTTCTTTTTATAACATGTTACAACCTGTAGCTAACCTGTCTTCCCCAGTTTCATTTGCTGATGCTACGAGCTCCCCTGGCAACCTATCCTCCACCCTTAAGAGACAAAATGAGATCTGTGATAGTCAGAAACTTAGAGTTTGCCCCTTTTGCACATTGAACGTGGGGATTGCTGGTTGAACGTGGTAGGGCAAATCACCAAAATTGCCATCATCTAATACAAGGTCGTATGGTCTAGTGGTTATGACATCTGCTTTACAAGTTCTTCACAGAGCGCGATCGCAGAGGATCGCAGGTTCAATCCCTGCTACGATCAATTGTTCACTCCTAATCGGTGGATATCCATTGTGTTTTTGTTTCCACCCCCGAGTGGATCGCCGTCTTTTTGCTTCGCATCCATCCCCTTTTTGTCTAAAGACATCCCCCAGCCTGCCAGATCTGCACTTGTCAGTTCTCCCTATCCTGAACCTACTACCCTCAGTTTCAGATCAACCAATCCACTCAACTCGAACGGCTTTGGTTTTGTTCAAGGCAAAAGCCTCTACCTGCTCCTTCCTGTGTCTCGATCACGGGCGGGGAAGCATAGGGCAGGCACGCGTGTGGAGAGTGGAACAGAAGGGCTGAGCCAATCAGGGAAGGACTCACCAGCCAACGACAGCTGCCTGATAACCACCCCGCTCACAGTGTTTCCACTTCCACCTTTCATTCACCCTTCCACTTCCCATCAGCATCACGACCAAACAGACGCGAGCGCGCTATCCCTCGCCGCAACCCAACTTGGCACAACATGACCAATTCATTGATCGGTCTCCCTCCCGAGATTCTCTGTGAGATTGTATCCCACTTCTGCCCACACTGCCAGGACACGAGTCTGCTCTCTGGCCTCGCGCAATTTGATCCGGAAGCCACCTGGGATTTCGATCGCGACCTCGGCGAGCCAGCTCGAACGTGGCTGGCAACAAACTACCGCAGCGATACCTTGAAGAACGCCCGCCGGATGAGGGCCACACTTGCCGCTCTGGCTCGAACCTGCAAGACCTTGAATGCACTCGCGACGCCTTACCTCTACCATGCCATTGGAGGCCAAGAATTCGGCTGCCGCCCTTGCAACACCCATCAACGGTTGACAAAGCGAAAAAGATACTGCAGGCCTGGGACCCCGCTTGTCACACGCGTGATACAGGCCAGGCCCCAGCTCGCCGAGCACGTCAAGTGCATCGACATACCGTTCGCTGGGGGCAACCTAGGCTGGTGCAAGAGCGGCTCCTTGGACGTGGACTCGGCGGCAGCCTACAATCTCATGCGGGAGTTTTACAAGACACTTCTTCAGGGGGCCAGGCTGCGAGCCCTCGACGTGGATGTGGGGCATTATGCCGCCTCCGTCGTGGCGAACATGGTCACTGTGGACCCGTCCGCTTTGCAGAACCTCACGGCACTCCAGTTTGGGGGATACAACAGGGAAGACGATTTCGCCCTCCACATCCTACAAGTCCTCCTACGTGCTGCCCCGAATCTGAGGTCACTCTACCTCAATCCCTTGTGCTCCAGCTGGTCAGCACCGAGGGCCACCGGCACTGAGAATAATGCTCGCCTCAGAGAACTCGCAACTAGGTGGTCTCTTCCGATGAGCTGGGCTGTTCCCGGTCCGTGTCCGCTCGAGTTTCCCCATGGCCTCACCAGACTCGCCATAGGCGCCAGCGCATGGAGCATGCCGGACGTCCTCTCTATCATTTCTCGCCTGCACTCCCTCGAGTCATTTCATTTCTCCCTGGCTACCCGCTGCCCTGACACCGATAAGCCAGGATTCGACTCGGACTTGGACGTGCCTGGGGATGCAAGTTACCGTCGAGTCTCCGCTCTCATCCATCAGCTTCTCTCCTGCATCGTGAAGCACCATTCCGCAACGCTGAAATCTTTGAGCGTCGATGCCATCATGATGCTCGACCGCGGACCCTCCCTCACGCTCCGCCCTTCGGAAACACCATTCTACCAGACCGGGCTCGCGAACTGCAAGAAGCTCGAGTCTATTGCCCTGGACATGGGCATCTTTCAGCGTGGCCATCCCAATTTGGCTGGGTCTCCAACGTTCCTGGCGGATATCCTCCCCGAGTCCACGAAAAGGGTGTACCTATGGGACGGCTCGTTTCATCGATGGACACTGGGACCGCAACTTCTAGCCTTGGAAGATGCGGCGAGATCGGGACGACTCCCGAATTTAAGAGCGGTCGAGGCGGATGCCACGACGATAGACCCGGATGAGATTTTGGAGGTTCTCACGTCCTGGGGGAAGCATTGGGGTAATGAGGTGGAGGATTTGATGGACGAAAGCGGGTTGGATGACAATGGAGGGGTGAGAGAAGGGCAGCAGATTGGGCTGGCAACAGTTGCTTCGCTGTGGAGGAGACGAAGTCCGCCTTTTGAGTTTGCTTTTGGTCAGGGGGATGCGGGTCCTATGTACAACTGGGATTGAGGGGGCATCGCAAACCAACTCTTGGTGGTGTTTTGGGCCCATCTGAGTCACATGACTTGACGGGTCGCGTTCTTCCCTTTTCACCAACGGTACTACGACACCCAGACAGATTTTTAGACTCGGAATCCTAGAAGGGATATCTCATTGGGAAAATCTCCACGAAGATGGAACAGGCAGGGGCTTTCAACGTCCTTTGGTCCTATTCCGCTCTTTTCTCGCTACGAACAAACATCCAGTTTCGTTTTTTTACCGCTAGCTCTACCGCCCACACATCCTCGTCGCGCAAACCGTATTCTCATGAATATACCGAATCAGACCCCCCACAATATAAAACATATTCGAACTCGGCGTCGTCCCATTCGGCTTGCTCGCCTCCAAAAACGGGAAGTCATTCAGCATCCCCACCGTGCCCATCTCCTCATCAATCACCCAGCGCCGATTCCCCACCGTCAACGGCATCGGAAACGCCGGCATGAAACACGAATTCGACGACGCGTTTCTGCTGCCCGTGTACAGCCCGCCTTCAAGTCGCGCGCAGGGTGTTCCCAATGGCACCGGCAGAGAGACATTTCCCCATTGGTTTAGATACGCGTTTGCAGCTGCAAGCAGCACCTCCCGGGTGTCCCGCTTCTCAGCTGGGATGGGATCCCATTTCTCCGTCAGGGCGTAGGAGAGATGCGCCTTGGCGTCGAAAATCCAGTCGCCGTCGTCGGACACGACAGAGTCGATGGTGGTGATCTTGGAGGTGGCGGCGTCGACGCGGATCAGCGTGACGATGACGTAGGGGTGGGAGGACGAGTTGGCGTTGAGCTCGGTGTAGGTGGAGCACGTGGTGGTGTCGTAGACGGAGCGGTGGAAGTCGATGGAGAGCGGGGTGGTGAGCACCGAGGCGTTGAGGGCGGGGTGCAGGTCGTTTTCGACGTAGGTGAGGGGGGTGTTGAGGGGGAGGAGGGAGGGGGTCCCGGCGGTTTGGGCTTTGATGTAGGTGGCGGCGATGTCTTGGAGGAAGGAGCGGGTGCAGGCGGCCGAAGCGGTGGATGCCAGGGCGAGGGTGAGGAGGGAGAACATTGTGGTGTTTTTTTTGTTAACCCGGGTTCCTGGAGGAGTAAGGATTCCTGGAGGAGTAAGGGGTATGCGATGGCATCACTGATGGGGAATTCAGGGTGTCAAGATTCCCTCTTTTTACATCTTTCGCATCGGAGTCCAGAAGAGGGGCCAGCCAGCGGTTCCCCGACTGCCCCCGTACGGCCTATATTCGCGGGCTTGTCCTTCTGCACGGTACTTGGAAAGTTTGAGGGGACGGCGTGGTGTTCGTAAGCCGGCAATCGGTGCCCGATTTAGCCGTTTGTGGGGAGATTGTTGGACGCAGGTACGACGGGCTTGGCCACGGCATGGAAATTGCCTAAGCTTTCCAAGCTTTAATGGCAGCGGCTGAAGATGCTCGGGCTTTGATGAATGGTTGGCTCGGTAGGACAGAGAAGGTGGTGGTTCTAGCCATACATGTCTAACACTGAACATCTAACAGTCAACTGACAACAACCCCTGACTTACTAAATAACACATCACCACACTCGTCACTAACTCGTCAACACCTTGCTCGCAAAGCCAACCCTCTTCTCGGCCACATCAAACACCACAAACTGCGCCTTCAACAAGACATCCCCAAAAATGGCAAAGGGAATCCCCTCGGAGCTCTGCATCCCCCCAAAGCAGTGCGTCCCGTTCACCCTGCTGTACACCATATACCTCCCCGGCACCGTCCCGCGATACCCGTCCCCCAACATGAAGCTCCAATCCGGCAACGCCGCGTCGCACGGAAACACCCACCCTGCCCAGTCCGCATCGTACCCGCTGCCTCCCACCCGGCCATAATACCGACGCACCAGCCCCTGAGGAACCAACAACAGACTCGTCCCCGTGTCCGCGATCGCCGCGAACTTCTCCTCCCCCGTTCCATTCCCATTCCCACTCGCATCCCCATCCCAACTCCCCCTACCATCCGCATCCTCCCCATACACCCCCGCCCTCTCCACCTCAAACCGCCACCAGATCGCCTCCCTAGGCATCACACTCGCATACCCCATCCTCCCATAATACGCCCCCCGATCCACATACCCAAACCCGTATCTCCCCGGCCGTCCCCTCTTCAAATCCGCCGTGAACACCTCCTGCTCCAACTCCCCCCGCACACTATCCATAAACGTCAGGGCCTTCCCCGGCCGCACACTACTCCCATGCGAGAAACCCAGACCGAGAATGCCCGAGCACGCAGCGTCGTAGGTGAAGGCGCGGGAGATGCGGGAGGCGGATTGTACGGTTTGCAGCGGGGACGTGATGGGGCCGAGGGAGACGACGTCCCGGTAGACGGTGCCGGAGGCGGTGGAGCCGTCGCCGTAGCGGATGGACCAGGTGTGGTTGGGGAGGAGGAGCGCGGTGGAGGAGTTGAGGGGGGAGTAGAGGCGGTGGGTGGTTAGGGAGGAAGGGGGGGTGAAGGGGGTTAGGACCCATCTGGGAGTGGAGGGGGGTTTAGTCAGGGGGTGAAAAGGGGGAAAGGGGGGAAAGGGGGAGGGGGAGAGAGACGTACAAATCGGCAGAGCCGGTGTCAATAGCCAGATTGACCGTCTGCGGCGGAGTCCCGATTTGCACCGGAGACAAATACTCAAAGTCGTTGCGCTCGGGGATGGCTTCGACGACGCCAGCTTGCCCGTTGTTCCCGCGCTTGTAGACCGCGCGCAGGGAAGGATTATGCTGAGCGGCGAACCTAACAGCAGGCGGCATGGCGCTGCCATACTTGGCGTAGGCTTCCATCATTGCCTTCAACCCGTTGGGCGTGTTATCGCTGGTGT